ATCACCCTCTTTTTGTTCACCCATCCCTGTATAGAGCCTTGAACTGAACGTTACCATGGGACATAGGTGGCAGGTCTCTTGACGGCAAATGTCAAAAGTGAGATTGTCCGAGGCTCAATTGGACAGGGCGTCAGTGTCCTAACCCCGGCCATGTTTAATACAGATCCCCAAACCTAATCAGACTGATCATGGCTCTCTGGTTGGCTAGTATAAATGACCGAGGCCTGGGGTCGGAGATTCGCGGTGCAAATCTCGCTCGCGATATTCAGCGTCTCGGTGCGGATGTAAGTTGTGAATATATACTTTTTAAGAGGTTTGTACTTTATTCAGTATGCTTTGGTGGACGCTCGAGAGGTGTTTCCTGGCTAGTGATCAAGCCTGTGCTCCCGTTTTCGCAGATCCGACGGGCAGGCTTTGCATGCTGGATGTTACCATAAAGGGTAATTCTCTTCGTTTGGGTTTATGCGCCCAATGACCATACGGAGCGGCCCGATTTGTTTCAGCAGATTCAGTCGAGTAGTTTTAGCAGGCGATTGGAATGCCATCCTTGACCCCGTCTTAAAATCGTACAGGGGAAAAATTGGGTATAACAACTCGGATGTGAAGCCATTTTGAGACTTTATCGAAAAGTTCGATCTTGTCGGTAAGTATCGTAATGATCACCCCATGGAGGTAGTATAATAGAGACGGTTCGGTTTCAGAGGTGCGTTCTACCTACATCGACCGACTTCTAATTAAAAGAGTCAATGTACAACTCTTAAGTTGTCCAAGTTTCCATTTTATATTTTACTCGGATCACAGGCTCGTCCGGGATCGTATAAACTTATATAAGCCTAAGATTAGTTTGGCTGGCTATTGGAAATTGAACGCATCATTATTTGGTGAGCAAGATTCCCATGACCAGCTGCTATGAATGCTACAGCGGGAATTGACAGAGGATTGTGGTTGGAAATAAGTGGTGGGATTTATTAAAATCTAAAGTTAAGTCGTTTTCTGCTGATTATAGCCGCCGATTCAGTCTAATTAGGTTAGCAGCACAAACGGCATGTGAAGCAAAAGTTGATCGGGCGATTAAATCACCCGATAATGCCTTACCTAGGGCAGAGCTGGCCTCCTTGCTTATCAAGAAGTATCTAGCGCTTGTAGTTAGGGCTAGGTTAAAAAAATGTCTTCTGCAGCAACAAATATGGCCGCTGAATTGTGCGTGCAGAAGAATTGCATCCAATAGGCATATCGCGTGCATCACATTGCCGGATAAGTTGATCGTGATTACAAACGCGGGCATATGTGAGGCTTTTTGTGACTACTTTCACGATCCGTTCACCAGTGAGCTTGGTCTGAGCAATGCCGAGTCCGATGCTTATTTGACCGACTTACTCCGCCTCAAGTAGGCTGAAGCGGCTGGATGCGAGGGTTTCGTTACAGAGTCTGAGATCTGGGAAGCGCTGAAGCTGGTTGGCTGAGACAAAACTCCAGGAGTAGATGGTCTTCCTTACGAACTGTGTGGCTGTCGCCCGTTCATATTCTCTTGCTGGAACTAATTTACAACAACAGATGAAGTTATTACGCAAAAGCAAAAACGATGGTGATAGGTAACTTTCGGCCTTTGAATACAGAGTTGAAGATTTTAGCCAAGATCTTAGCCGGCTGGTTTCAGGTTTCCCTGTCTAGTCTGATTGGCTCTGATCGGACTTATGCTGTGAGGGTAGGACTATTCAGAAAAACCTTCATTTGGTACTCTGGCACATTGAGCAAGTCGACAGTGAAGCAACGCTGATCAATTTAGATCAGGCCAAGGCATTCAACCATCGTTTTCTGAAGGCTGTCCTTTCGGTCGCCGGTTTCGATCTATACTTTCGAACTTAAGTCCGATTTCTGTATCCGTACCCTGGTGCACTGGTGGAAGTGGATGGGGCATGATCGAAGCATTTCGTGTTGTCTCGCTCCATTCGTCAAGGTTGTCAGATTTCGCCTTTGCTTTACGTTCTTGGTGTGGGAGGTCTTTCCTTCGCAAGTTAAAGGCGAATTCGGTTCTACGCAGCCAGGTACTCCGCCTATGCTGACTACTGTGTCGAGCAGAGCTGAGATTGACGAAATCAGCAAAGAAATCAGAGGGTACGAAACAGTGACAGGGGACAAGATCAACCGCGATAAGTCTGTCGGCTTGCGGCTAGGCGCGTGTAAGGGAGTTTCTCTTTCCGGAACTTTCCTCTGGACGGACGGGCCAGTCAAGATACTCGGCGTCTGCTTCGGTCCCGCCCTCTTGCTGGAAATGAATTGGCCGGGGATGCAGGAGAAGGTTGAAAACGCAGTAACGCGAAAGTATGTGTTTATATATATATTTTTTTTCAATTACTCCTAACCGTTTTGATTGTGATACTGGTTCAATAGTTTAGAATTTTGAGTACCATATTTCCTTATTTTGTAGATCAACTGATTTATGATAAACTTCAGCTTGATTCAGGAAATATTAAAAAAAACGAATTAACCCAAATTCAAAAAACTCCAAAATTCTAAATTACTGTTGTATAATCAGTGCACGACACGCGTCATGACCGATAACTTATAACGACTGCTTGCATTTTGAGATGCCATCGAAGATCTGGCAGGCATGTGAAAAAGCCTTTTACGAATAACGAAAACAAACGAGGCTTCTCAAGATTTTCGTAACGTGATAATTGGCCATCACAGACGAGTGAAAGAAATCTGAATGATCTCTAATTCGTTCAAGATCCACATAAATTGAATCAGTGATATGCTTCAAAAATGGATTTGGTTTGATTTCTTTAACGGCATATCAACTTCTTAATTTATTTAATGCCGAAATTTAATTTTCTTGGGAGCTTTGTTAAAATTTTTTTTTTTTAATATTAAACTCTATTGCTAGAATTTTTTTATTTTTTTTATTATTTGATATAATTTTTACTTTCATAGTGTTTTGGCCCCAGTTTGGGGATTCATTATGTGCCCATAACAGGGACCCTAACAGGTACTACCACCCCTGGTCAGGGTAAACCTGGGAACAACAGCAATTAAAAAGTGGTTCCATTCTCCTGAAAACCTCCCGAGCAGAGACCTTGCAGCCGGACGTAGTATGCACCCGAGACAATCACAAATGGAAAGAATACTTTAAAAATGAACATCCTCGTAAAGTAAGCAGCTAGATCCATTTGTCGAACAGTAATGGGTAAGCCATTCATTTGATTAGTAAGTTAGTCCTGTGAACCACTGGTGGTTAAGCATGAAGTAACCGATTAATCCGGCTGGACATAGTATGAGCCTGAAATATACAGCCATACGCAGTTTTAGGTTTTAGTTTCGCAAGCCACGCATGATACTATCTTCTGATCCTGCACTGAGGCAGGAATTTTGAAGAAACAATTTGAAGACTACGCAAAAACAACCATTTTATTTCTGCTGCTCGATCAGTAAATTTGGATTCATCACGTTATCCGACATTCCAAAGAGAGCATGTCATCTAGAAGGGACGGAATCCCTAAAGGTAACATTTAATGTATACTCGAAAACAAAATGACAATTTGAAAGAATTTATGCGTTTAAGCCATACGCTTGTATTCCTTTATATAAGGAATCGCCGGAAGTTATGAAATAATTTAATTGAATTTCATGTTAAGGACATAAAAATTGAGAATAGAATTAAGGACGTTTTGTTTCCTAGAATCTGGAATTACTTAACCGGCGGCCGGTTTTCATATTCCTTCCAACTTTCTTCGCTTTTTAAATGGCTGCTAGTATGTGATGTGTTATAATGTCACAGGGAAATACGCACTTGGAATTAAATTTTTTCTGGAGTTAAATTTAACACAAGGTCAATTTCAAAGAGTACTCTGAGAAGAAAGAACCCATGAGACAAGAACGTTGTAACTTTGTCTTACCCAACCTCAAAAAACAAGCACTGAATAGAAATAAGGTAGAAAGGAGAATAAAGATGAGAAAGGAGAAGGAGATAAAAAGAGGAAAGAAATGTAAAGAGAGTAAAAGAGGAATGAAATAAGGGAGAACGAGAGTGATAGAGTAAGGTGATAAATGGGAAAGAGAGTAAAAAGGAAAGAGATAAAAGAGAAGAAGAATAAAAGAGGAATAAGATAAAAGAGAAAGCGCGTAAAAGATAAACAAAATAAAGCAGAAGGAAGGTAACAGAGGAAGAAGATAAAGGAGAAGGAAGGTAAAAGAGGAAGAAGATAAAGGAGTAAAAGGAAGATAAAGGAGAAGGAAGGTAAAAGAGGAAGAAGATAAAGGAGAAGGAAGGTAAAAAGGAAGAAGATAAAGGAGAAGGAAGGTAAAAAAGAGGAAGAAGGAAAAAAAGGAGAAGGAAGGTAAAATAGGAAGAAGATAAAGGAGAAGGAAGGTAAAAAGAGGAAGAAGAGAAAGAAGAAGGAAGGAAGGTAAAAGCGGAAGAAGATAAAGGAGAAGGAAGATAAAAGAGGAAGAAGATAAAGGAGAAGGAAGGTAAAAGAAGGAAGAAGAAGAAAAGGAGAAGGAGGGGAGGAAAAGAGGAAGAAGATAAAAAGAAGAAGATAAAGGAGAAGGAAGGAAGAAGAAGATAAAGGAGAAGGAAGGTAAAAGAGGAAGAAGATAAAGGAGAAGGAGAGGTAAAAAGAGGAAGAAGATAAAGGAGAAGGAAGGTAAAAGAGGAAGAAGATAAAGGAGAAGGAGAAGGAAGGTAAAAGAAGGAAGAAGAGGAAAAGGAGAAGGAGGGTAAAAGAGGAAGAAGATAAAGGAGAAGGAAGGTAAAAAGGAAGAAGATAAAGGAGAAGGAAGGTAAAAGAGGTAAAGGAAAGGAAGGAGGAAGAAGATAAAGGAGAAGGAAGGTAAAAGAGGAAGAAGATAAAGGAGAAGGAAGGTAAAAGAGGAAGAAGATAAAGGAGAAGGAAGGTAAAAGAGGAAGAAGATAAAGGAGAAGGAAGGTAAAAGAGGAAGAAGATAAAGGAGAAGGAAGGTAAAAGAGGAAGAAGATAAAGGAGAAGGAAGGTAAAAACGGAAGAAGGTAAAGGAGAAGGAGGGTAAAAGAGGAAGAAGATAAAGGAGAAGGAAGGTAAAAGAGGTAGAAGATAAAGGAGAAGGAGGGTAAAAGAGGAAGAAGGTAAAGGCCAAGGAAGGTAAAAGAGGAAGAAGATAAAGGAGAAGGAAGGTAAAAAGGAAGAAGATAAAGGAGAAGGAAGGTAAAAAGAAGAAGATAAAAGAAGGAAGGTAAAAGAAGATAAAGGAGAAGGAAGGTAAAAAAGAGGAAGAAGATAAAGGAGAAGGAAGGTAAAAAAGGAAGAAGATAAAGGAGAAGGAAGGAAGATAAAAGGAGTAAAAGGAAGAAGATAAAAAAGAAGGAAGAAGATAAAGGAGAAGGAAGGAAAAAGGAAGAAGATAAAGGAAAGGAAGGTAAAAAGGAAGAATAAAGGAGAAGGAAGGTAAAAAGAAGAAGAAGAAAAGAGAAAAGAAGAAGAAAAAAGGAGAAGAAGGTAAAAGAGGAAGAAGATAAGGAGAAAGGAAGGGAAGAAAAAAGGAGAAGAAGATAAAGGATAAAGAGAAGGAAGGGAAGGATAAAGGAGAAGGAAGGTAAAAGGAAGAAGATAAAGGAGAAGGAAGGTAAAAAGAGGAAGAAGATAAAGGAGAAGGAAGGTAAAAAAAGGAAGGAAGAAGATAAAGGAGAAGGAGGGTAAAAGAGGAAAAAGAGGAAGAAGGTAAAAAGGGAAGAAGGAGGAGAAGGGTAAAAAAAAAGAAGATAAAGGAGAAGGATAAAAAGAGGAAGAAGATAAAGGAGAAGGAAGGTAAAAGAGGAAGAAGATAAAGGAGAAGGAAGGTAAAAAGGAAGAAGATAAAGGAGAAGGAAGGTAAAAGGAAGAAGATAAAGGAGAAGGAAGGTAAAAAGAGGAAGAAGGAAGGTAAAAGGGAAGAAGATAAAGGAGAAGAGGTAAAAGCGAAGAAGATAAAGGAAGGAAGGTAAAAGAGGAAGAAGATAAAGGAGAAGGAAGGTAAAAAAGGAAGAAGATAAAGGAGAAGAAGGTAAAAGAGGAAGAAGATAAAGGAGAAGGGAAGGGAGGAAGAAGATAAAGGAGAAGGAAGGTAAAAAGAGGAAGAAGATAAAGGAGAAGGAAGGGTAAAAAGGAAGAAGATAAAGGAGAAGGAATAAAAAGAAGAAGATAAAGGAGAAGGAAGGTAAAAGAGGAAGAAGATAAAGGAGAAGGAAGGTAAAAGAGGAAGAAGATAAAGGAGAAGGAAGGTAAAAAGGAAGAAGATAAAGGAGAAGGAAGGTAAAGAGGAAGAAGATAAAGGAGAAGGAAGGTAAAAGAGGAAGAAGATAAAGGAGAAGGAAGGTAAAAGAGGAAGAAGATAAAGGAGAAGGAAGGTAAAAGAGGAAGAAGATAAAAGAAGGTAAAAAGGAAGAAGATAAAGGAGAAGGAAGGTAAAAGAGGAAGAAGATAAAGGAAGGAAGGTAAAAAGGAAGAAGATAAAAGAAGGAAGATAAAGGAGAAGGAAGGTAAAAGAGGAAGAAGATAAAGGAGAAAAAGGAGGAAGAAGATAAAGGAGAAGGAAGGTAAAAGGAAGAAGAAGAAGGAAGGTAAAAAGGAAGAAGATAAAGGAGAAGGAAGGTAAAAGGGAAGAAAAAAGGAGAAGAAGATAAAAGAAGGAAGAAGGGAAAAGGAGAAGGAAGGTAAAAAGGAAGAAGATAAAGGAGAAGGAAGGTAAAAGAGGAAGAAGATAAAGGAGAAGGAAGGTAAAAAGGAAGAAGTAAAGGAGAAGGAAAAAGAGGAAGAAGATAAAGGAGAAGGAAGGTAAAAAAGAAGGAAGAAGATAAAGGAGAAGAAGGTAAAAGGAAGGTAAAAGAAGAAGATAAAGGAGGAAGAAGAAGAAAGGAGAAGGAAGGTAAAAGAGGAAGAAGATAAAGGAGAAGGAAGGTAAAAGGAAGAAGATAAAGGAGAAGGAAGGTAAAAGAGGAAGAAGATAAAGGAGAAGGAAGGTAAAAGAGAAGAAGAAAAGAGAAAAGGTAAAAGAAAGAAGATAAAAAGAAGGAAGGTAAAAGCGGAAGAAGATAAAGGAGAAGGAAGGTAAAAAAGGGAAGAAGATAAAAGGAAGTAAAAAAGGAAGAAGATAAAGGAAGGAAGGTAAAGAGGAAAAAGGAGAAGAAGGTAAAAAGGAAGAAGAAGGAGAAGGAAAGGAAGAAGATAAAGGAGAAGGAAGGTAAAAGAGGAAGAAGATAAAGGAGAAGGAAGGCAAAAGAGGGAAGAAGATAAAGGAGAAGGAAGAGGAAGAAGATAAAGGAGAAGGAAGGTAAAAAGAGGAAGAAGATAAAGGAGAAGGAAGGTAAAAGAGGAAGAAGATAAAGGAGAAGGAAGGTAAAAAGGAAGAAAGGAGAAGGAAGGTAAAAGAGGAAGAAGATAAAGGAGAAGGAAGGTAAAAGAGGAAGAAGATAAAGGAGAAGGAAGGTAAAAGAGGAAGAAGATAAAGGAGAAGGAAGGTAAAAAGAGGATAAAAGAAGATAAAAGAGGAAGAGAGGAGAAAGGTAAAAGAGGAAGAAGATAAAGGAGAAGGAAGGTAAAAGAGGAAGAAGATAAAGGAGAAGGAAGGTAAAAAAGGAAGAAGAAAAAGGAGAAGGAAGGAAAAAGGAAGAAGATAAAGGAGAAGGAAGGTAAAAGAGGAAGAAGATAAAGGGAGAAGAAAAAGGAAGAAAAAAGAAAGAAGGTAAAAGGAGAAGAAGATAAAAGAAGGAAGAAGAGGGAAGAAGATAAAAAAGAAGGTAAAAAGAAGAAGAAAAGGAGAAGGAAGGTAAAAGAGGAAGAAGATAAAGGAGAAGGAAGGTAAAAAGGAAGAAGATAAAGGAGAAGGAAAAAAAAGGAAGAAGATAAAGGAGAAGGAAGGTAAAAGAGGAAGAAGATAAAGGAGAAGGAAGGTAAAAAGGAAGAAGATAAAGGAGAAGGAAGGTAAAAGCGGAAGAAGATAAAGGAGAAGGAAGGAAAAAAAAAGAAGGAGGAGAAGGATAAAAGAGGAAGAAAAGGAGAAGGAAGGTAAAAGAGGAAGAAGATAAAGGAGAAGGAAGGTAAAAAGAGGAAGAAGATAAAGAGAAGGAAGGTAAAAGAGGAAGAAGATAAAGGAGAAGGAAGGTAAAAAAGAGGAAGAAGATAAAGGAGAAGGAAGGTAAAAGAGGAAGAAGATAAAGGAGAAGGAAGGTAAAAGAGGAAGAAGATAAAGGAAGAAGGAAGGGAAAAAAGGAAGAAGATAAAGGAGAAGGAAGGTAAAAAGGAAGAAGATAAAGGAGAAGGAAGGTAAAAGAGGAAGAAGATAAAGGAGAAGGAAGGTAAAAAGGAAGAAGATAAAGGAGAAGGAAGGTAAAAAGGAAGAAGATAAAGGGAAGGTAAAAGAGGAAGAAGATAAAGGAGAAGGAAGGTAAAAGAGAAGAAGAAGATAAAGGTAAAAAGAGGAAGAAGAAAGGAGAAGGAAAAGAGGAAGAAGATAAAGGAGAAGGAAGGTAAAAAAAGGAAGAAGATAAAGGAGAAGGAAGGTAAAAGAGGAAGAAGATAAAGGAGAAGGAAGGTAAAAGAGGAAGAAGATAAAGGAGAAGGAAGGCAAAAGAGGAAGAAGATAAAGGAGAAGGAGGGTAAAAGAGGAAGAAGATAAAGGAGAAGGAAGTAAAAAGGAAGAAGATAAAGGAGAAAGGAAGAAGATAAAGGATAAAAGAGGAAGAAGATAAAAGGAGAAGGAAGGTAAAAGGAAGAAGATAAAGGAGAAGGAAGGTAAAAGAGGAAGAAGATAAAGGAGAAGGAAGGTAAAAAAAGGAAGGATAAAGGAGAAGGAGGGTAAAAGAGGAAGAAGATAAAGGAGAAGGAAGGTAAAAGAGGAAGAAGATAAAGGAGAAGGAAGGTAAAAGAGGAAGAAGATAAAGGAGAAGGAAGGTAAAAGCGGAAGAAGATAAAGGAGAAGGAAGGTAAAAGAGGAAGAAGATAAAGGAGAAGGAAGGTAAAAGAGGAAGAAGATAAAGGAGAAGGAAGGTAAAAGAGGAAGAAGATAAAGGAGAAGGAAGGTAAAAGAGGAAGAAGATAAAGGAGAAGGAAGGTAAAAAAGATAAAGGAAGGAATATAAAGGAGAAGGAAGATAAAAAAGAGGTAAAAGAAGATAAAGGAGAAGGAAGGTAAAAGAGGAAGAAGGTAAAGGCCACGGAAGGTAAAAGCGGAAGAAGATAAAGGAGAAGGAAGTTAAAATAGGAAGAAGATAAAGGAGAAGGAAGGTAAAAGAGGAAGAAGATAAAGGAGAAGGAAGGTAAAAAAGGAAGAAGGTAAAGGAGAAGGAAGAAAAAAGGAAGAAAAAGGAGAAGGAAGGTAAAAAAAGAAGGAAGAGAAGATAAAGGAGGAAGGTAAAAGGGAAGAAGATAAAGGAGAAGGAAGGTAAAAGAGGAAGAAGATAAAGGAGAAGGAAGGTAAAAAGAGGAAGAAGATAAAGGAGAAGGAAGGTAAAAGAGGAAGAAGATAAAGGAGAAGGAAGGTAAAAGAGGAAGAAGATAAAGGAGAAGGAAGGTAAAAGAGGAAGAAGATAAAGGAGAAGGAAGGTAAAAGAGGAAGAAGATAAAGGAGAAGGAAGGTAAAAGAGGAAGAAGATAAAGGAGAAGGAAGAAGGAAGGTAAAGGAAAGGAAGGTAAAAGCGGAAGAAGATAAAGGAGAAGGAAGGTAAAAGAAGAAGAAGATAAAGGAGAAGGAAGGTAAAAAGAAGAAGAAAAGGAGAAGGAAGGTAAAAGAGGAAGAAGATAAAAGAAGGAGGGTAAAAAGAGGAAAAGGAGAAGGAAGGTAAAAAGAGGAAGAAGATAAAGGAGAAGGAAGGTAAAAGAGGAAGAAGATAAAGGAGAAGGAAGGTAAAAAGGAAGAAGATAAAGGAGAAGGAAGGTAAAAAGGAAGAAGATAAAGGAGAAGGAAGGTAAAAGCGGAAGAAGATAAAGGAGAAGGAAGGTAAAAGAGGAAGAAGATAAAGGAGAAGGAGGGTAAAAAAGAAGAAGATAAAGGAGGAAGAAGGTAAAAAGGAAGTAAAAGGGAAGAAGAAAAGGAGAAGGAAGGTAAAAGAGGAAGAAGATAAAGGAGAAGGAAGTTAAAAGAGGAAGAAGATAAAGGAGAAGGAAGGAAGGGAAGAAGATAAAGGAGAAGGAAGGTAAAAGAGGAAGAAGATAAAGGAGAAGGAAGGTAAAAAAGGAAGAAGATAAAGGAGAAGGAAGGTAAAAGAGGAAGAAGAGAAAGGAGAAGGACGGTAAAAGAGGAAGAAGATAAGAAGATAAAAGAAGGTAAAAGAGGAAGAAGATAAAGGAGAAGAAGAAGGTAAAAGAAGGAAGAAGATAAAGGAGAAGGAAGGTAAAAGAGAAGAAGATAAAGGAGAAGGAAGGTAAAAAGAGGAAGAAGATAAAGGAGAAGGAAGGTAAAAGAGGAAGAAGATAAAGGAGAAGGAAGGTAAAAAGGAAGAAGATAAAGGAGAAGGAAGGTAAAAGAGGAAGAAGATAAAGGAGAAGGAAGGTAAAAAGGAAGGTAAAGGAGAAGGAAGGTAAAAGAGGAAGAAGATAAAGGAGAAGGAAGGTAAAAAGGAAGAAGATAAAGGAGAAGGAAGGATAAAGGAGAAGGAAGGTAAAAGAGGAAGAATAAAGGAGAAAGGAAGGTAAAGGAAAGAGGAAGAAGGTAAAGGAGAAGGAAGGTAAAAAAGAAGATAAAGGAGAAGGAAGATAAAGCAGAAGGAGGCTAAAAGGTAAAAGAGAAGAAGATAAAGGAAGGAAGGTAAAGAAGAAGGTAAAGGAGAAGGAGGGAAAAAGGAGATAAAGGAGAAGGAAGGTAAAAGAGGAAGAAGATAAAGGAGAAGGAAGGTAAAAGCGGAAGAAGATAAAGGAGAAGGAGGGTAAAAGAGGAAGAAGATAAAGGAGAAGGAAGGTAAAAGAGGAAGAAGATAAAGGAGAAGGAAGGTAAAAGAGGAAGAAGATAAAGAAGATAAAGGAGAAGGAAGGTAAAGGAAAAGAAGGAAGAAGATAAAGGAGAAGGAAGGTAAAAGAGGAAGAAGATAAAGGAGAAGGTAAAAGGAAGAAAAGAAGGAAGAAGAGAGGAAAAGGAGAAGGAGGGTAAAAGAGGAAGAAGATAAAGGAGAAGGAAGGTAAAAAAGAAGGAAGAAGATAAAGGAGAAGATAAAGGAGAAGGAAGGTAAATGAGGAAGGAGATAAAGGAGAAGGAAGGTAAAAGAGGAAGAAGATAAAGGAGAAGGAAGGAAAAAGAGGAAGAAGATAAAGGAGAAGGAAGAAGATAAAGTAGAAGGAAGGTAAAAGAGAAGAAGAAGGATAAAAAGGAAGAAGATAAAGGAGAAGGAAAGGTAAAAGAGGAGAAGAAGATAAAGGAGAGAAGGAAGGTAAAAAGGAAGAAGATAAAGGAGAAGGAATAAAGAAGATAAAGGAGAAGGGTAAAAGAGGAAGAAGATAAAGGAGAAGGAAGGTAAAAGGAAGAAGATAAAAGAAGGAAGGTAAAAGAAGAAGAAGATAAAGGAGAAGGAAGGTAAAAGAGGAAGAAGATAAAGGAGAAGGAAGGTAAAAGAGGAAGAAGATAAAGGAGAAGGAGGGTAAAAGAGGAAGAAGGTAAAGGCCACGGAAGGTAAAAGCGGAAGAAGATAAAGGAGAAGGAAGGTAAAATAGGAAGAAGATAAAGGAGAAGTAAGGTAAAAGAAGAAGAAGCAGATAGCGGTGAATAGGAGAAAAAGAAGAAGAAGATAAAGGAAAGAAAAATTAAAAAAATCACAATATGAAAAGTTAGTGAGAATAATGGGAGACAGATAGAAAAGTGAAAGATGGAGCTAATAATTGCAGCGATAAAAGATAGACAGACGGACACAAGTACTGAGACTGATAGATTTGATAAGGTTGACTCAGACAGATGGATAGATTTTAAGTATTTAAGCAGTGATGTATATCTGTCTGCCTTGTGACTGAAATAGTTACGTGAGGTAGGTTTTCTAGCCCAAGTATAACGTCCGATGCTGATTTTTGAAGCAACCAGGGCGACTCATTTGAATGTCTACCATAACACTATTTTTCGACCTGCTCATTTCCCTCATCCCCTCTAGTATTTGTTTTGTATTGCACTGAACCCGTCTTAGTAAATATCAAAAGCGAACGAAACATCGGCAAAGAAATAGTGGTTTATTCGCGAAAATATGTCAGTCTTTCTTCAACAGTGAGTAAGGAACACAATGGAAATCAAATAATGTGATAGATTGGCGAGTAGAGAGAGAAGAACGGGAGAGACAAAGGAACCTAATTAGGAAAATAGGAATCCGGAAGATGCGACGAAAAATAAACCTGGAGAAAGAGAGAAGGGAGTGTGTGTGTGTGTGTGTGTGTGTGTGTGTGTGTGTGTGTGTGTGTGTGTGTGTAAAAGAGAGTAAGGCGTGTGAGAGAGAGAAAGAGAAAAAAATAAGAAAATAAGAGGGAAAAACACGGAGAGTAAGGACACGGAAAGATGAAATGGAATGTTGAGAATTGAGTAATCGAGTGGAAGGGACGGATTGCTCATCATTTTTGTCCTCCCCTTGAGATAATGACTTATGTCATTATCGATGACATCAAGGAGTCAGGCCTTTCCAATGCCGGAACTTTCGTGGCATTCATAGAAAACAGTCGGATGAAGATCACGGAACGACCGACGGGTAAAATTAACCTCTCTGCCTTCTAGTGGATGTAGACGACCAGCGAATTGCACCGACAAACCCATCTGCCCAGACAGAAGGATTCATATGACTGTCGAATCGTACTGACCGACATATGGCTCGAACAAAAGATTCGTGCTGACTGATAAAGTAGTCAGTTGTATCAGAGCCATCCTGAACGAACTTGTGGGTTAATGGGAACATTATATTACAAAAATATTTAAACTTTCCTGTTTGAGCAAACACAACGACAATTGCGTTAAATTTTCTAATACATCTTTTCAATAATCCATTTCCTTAAAAATTATCCTTAATTAAATTTTAAAATCTCAAGAATATTCCAAGTGGGTACTCTTAAAACCACTGGCATTTCGTTTTGGCAGAATACTAAGAGTATAGATAATAGACATCTCCAAATTTCATTGTGGAACTTTTTCACCTAAGTAAAACAAAAAGCTATGAAACATGTATAAAATTTTATAAGTATTTACATTATTTACTTTGTTCGGACAGTTGTCCTCATCTTCGTTGTTATTTTCATGATATTTTAGCCGTTATACGCTCCGGCCTTCTTCAGGTGATTGGAATTTCGAACTGAGCCCTTTATTTCATCCATTGGGGTAGATTGTTCTAGTTCCACATGTCAAGCCTCATCTGGATGTCTCAGTATCAGTTATCTCCCTTTAAATCAACCTTCCGAGTTTTTGTTCACCTCAGCTGTAGCCAGGTATTGAACTCGCAAATCATTGGATCAAGTATCTGGATTCAACCAGCATTTTCATCCACTGGTCTGTTTCTTTGACTCCGATGGAAGAAATAAAGGGTTCAGTTCGAAATTACAATCACCTGAAGAAGGTCGAAACGTACAACTGCCGAAACGTCATGAATATGGCAACAGTCAGAACAATATAAATAATTACAATACATCATTTCAGTAATATAGACAGATATTTAATTTTATAGTTATTTTTTCTGTGATTCGAAAGCAGAAAAGATTGGAACGTTTGTGATATAAATAATATTTGTATATTTTAAGCAAAATTGAGTATATTTGCGTTTAAAAATATTGTTTACTTTGTAAAAACCCTATCGATATAAGATATCATTGCCTTATTTGGGGGGATCGTAAAATCACGTCAATTTTTTAATTTTTTTTTAAAATTCAGTTAATTATTGGGTTTTAGGATTGATGTAAAAGAAAATATTTTTTAAAACAGTCTTTCTTCAAAAATTTAAAGAAAAATGTTTTTTCATGTATTTGCACCCACTTTTTTTTAATTTGGTGATTTTTAATTGTGTCTCGAGGCGTATCATATTGAAGTTTACACATTTAAAAGTCCTTAAAAAATAAATTCTGAAACTTCAGCATTCAGAAGTAACATCGATATGGATCCTTTAGTTTAGAAATTTTAAAAAAAAGAGAATAAAATGAAATGAAATATGGCCCTTTTTGAAGATTTTTAATTTTACTTTAATTTATATTTTAGGGCCTGTAAACAAAAAAAAATCTTTAATATTTTTCAGATATTTTTTGGTAATTTTATATAATCAGTTTAATAATTTTATATTTTAAAAACGTCTTTCTTTATTTTTGCAAAAGGCGTACAACTCTGGGATTTTGTTTTGTAAAACCTCGACGTTTTTTTTTTTTTTAATAAATAAATATGCAAAGATATTGGAAAAATATTTTCTTCAACTATTCCTAAAATATTTTATCAAAATATTACACAGCTGTAGATTGGATATTATTATGAACTAAAGGTGCACAAACTCATAATCATTTTCATATTTCAGTTGTCATCATTCACACACCAGCTATATCGTAACTGAGAAGGGTTCATTGAAAGAACAGACAAATGTGTATGTCCTATATTACTTGCAAACGAATTTTCTAAATAATTTGTACAAACATTAACTCATATTTTACATGGTAATATTGGCGGTATTGATGTATATTCAGCCAGTCAGTTATATGCCATGAGTGATACACGCTTAGGCCATCATGTATCTTTCGATACATGACTGACGAGGCAGATTTTTTCCCGCAGTAGGTTGCCATTTCTTTCTGCGGTAAACCAGTTGCCATCCAAGGCTATAGAACTCGGCCTGTCCTGCTATTTACCCATAGCTAGGGGGTGGGAAGAAGAAGAGAATTCATAACTTTCCCAAGGGTAATAGCACGTAAGTGAATGCAATGGATTCAACTGCAATGTCAGTCAGTTACGTGTCATCCGTGATACACGCTTAGACGATCATCTTTCGGTACATGACTGACGAGGCAGATTTTTTTTCCCCGCAGTAGGTTGCGATTCCTTTCTGTGGTAGACCGGTTGCCATCCAAGGCTATAGAACCCGGTCTGTCCTGCTATTTACCCATAGCTGGTGGGAGAAGATGTTTCATACCTTTTCCAAGGGTATTAGCAAGTAAGTGAATGTAATGGATTCGACTGGAATTCGAACTCGGCTCTCCGATTCTTCAATCCGAGGAACAGGGAATTTATGTCATTGCAATGTACAGCTTATGGTAAAATTCCTAAATGTTGCAAGTAATAATTATGACTTTTTTTTATTTTTACAGAAATTGAAGTTGTTGCGCACTATTTTAAAATATAATTTAGGAATAGATTATGTAAATAAGGATTTATTTCTCAGATTAAACTAATATAGTAGATAAAAGCATTGATTTTTCATGTCTGCATGCAAATCATTGAAATATTTTACATTTGCCTTCAATGCAAATGTCTTCTGATTTCACTTCTACCTCACTGGAGTTATTAGATTTTCTCTTTTCTTGAAAATAAAATAGTTTGATCCCTAAATTTTTTCACGATGTATGTTTTAATTCTTTAAATACTATAATAATCATTATCACCAAGGTATTTTATTATTTGAAACCAGAAAATATTAAATCTCTTTGAGATTTTATGACATTTGTTATAGCCAACACTTCACTCGAGAAAATGTATCCCAGAATTAACTTTTTAAAATAATGATGACAAAAAAAAAAAAAAAAAAAAAAATAATAATAATTAGTTTCCAAAAAATAAAATATTGTTTTTTATTACGCATCATTTTATTACAGGCCACCATACTTACAAACGGATAGGCAATCAGTAGATTTGTTGATTTTCTTTGGGGGCATATCAACCTCGATGTTTCATTTAATGCCGGAATGTAAATATTTTGAACGCAATTATATGCATTCAACTATAGATAAACTCTATTTCTGGCCATTTTACTTTAAAAATGTACTGTTGATAATTTTTACTATAAATAGGTATTGTTGGTAATTTTACTATAAATAAGTGTTGTGGGTAAATGTCACTATAAATATGTATTATAGTGATTTTACTATAGAAACTTATTGTTGGTAATTTTTATATAACAGTATGTATTTTTATACTTTCATAGTGTTTGTTTTGTTTTGGTGTTCCCTATTTTCCCATAGCTAGGACCCTAACATGCTACCACCCGGTTTAGGGCGAACCTAAGAACAACAACAATTATGTTCTGGTTCATCAAAAACTCCTGTTCAGAGGCCTTGCTACCGGATGTAGTTTATCATCATACCCAGGACTAGCCAGACGAATTAAGAATGCTTGCCGTCAATCACTAATACAAATACCATTCACCAAGCTAAAATGACTTTTGACTAATACTGACTCGTGCAAGCTACCTATGTTTTAAAACATACATTTTTAATGTTTTTAAAATAACATTCGGATTTTTTTCTCGTATTTAAATCGTACAAAATTAAAGTAACTCTTTTCCATAAAATTGTGTTAATGTTACGATTATTTTCTATCTTTATTCTTGTTTATGTGCCATGTTCCTTCTGAATGTAGGCGATCATGGCTCTCCACAATTTCCTGTCCTTTGTGGTTCTTGATAAATATTGTCTTTTTGTTATCTCTCCTAAATCTTGTTCTACCATCCATTTACTGAAGCCCACTACGTATGTTACGCAATGTTTTCCTCTGTCATCTTAAATCTGTCCTGTGAGTATCAGATTTTCCAAGCCCTCTTTCCTCGTCATGTACCCTAGAAACCCCAAATGTCTCTTCCTGGTGTCAAGTATAAGTTTATTTTTTGTACTTATATTAACTAAAACTTCGTCGTTGCTCACATGTTCGTTCCATGGTTTACTCAGTATCCTTCTGAAGAACTGCCATTTCTGTTGCTTGATGTCTCTTCTTCTTCTTTGAGGAGATTGTCCAGCATTCACTGCCATACAGGAGGATAGATATCATGTAACAATTCAGTACTCTATTCTTTGTTTCTAACGAAGTTTTTCGATTTCCTAATACTCTGCTTAGCTTTTGGAATGCATCTTTGGCTATCTCAACACGCCTTCGGGTTTCAGTGTCACACTTTCCGTCCTCTGTTAAAACACTTTTCAGACATTTAAATTTATTTATTTGTTTCATTTTGGTATCTCCAATTTTGTAATTTGAATTTTGGGATCATCCTTTTGCTAACAACCCTGCATTCTGTCTTCTTGCAGTTGATGTTTAATCCTTTTCTTTTCCCTTTCCTTCACTACATTCTGTAGGAGGTTTTTTTTTGTAGTTTTCTTTCATTGTCTGCTATTAGCACTGTGTCATCTGC